ATTTATAAAAAGTTCAAAATGTGAGCTTTATGTTATAAGAGTTTTACCTCAATTGAAAAAAAATACGACAGATTAAAGAAAACGATCTACTTGTATTTGAAGACTGTAAACTATTCCATTTTGTCTGGACCATGGACCCTGCCAAGACTTCTACATTCTTTTGGTTAAAATATAACCTAAAATCAAAGCACCATCATTTGTTTCAAGTGCTCTTTGTATTTGCTAAGGAGGCAGCAAGAATCAAAGAATTCTCAGAGGGACATGGATGCTTAGCTAGATACTGATAAGATTTCTTTGAACATTGTAATAATCTAGTGTGGTGAACTGTGCCCCAGTGGTCTACGGGGTAATGAACGCAAAAGAAGTTTTGGGTGAAAAGAGGGTCCAGATAATGCAGCGTTAATTTTAAAAGCATTCTCTTTATTTTCTTGAGTCTTGAAATTGCTTTGACATTTAGGAATTAGGATAAGTGGCCAATAGTATTTATTGTTTTTCCCAACATCCATTTCGGTCCTCTTTTCTCTTACAAAGCCTGAGAAGATTTTTTAAAAACTACATTTCCCAGGCTTCCTTGCGGCTAGGATTCTCTTCACCTAGTGTGTGTGCTTTGGGCTCCACCAATCAGAGGTACTTTCAAGAAATTTTATGGGCAGAGAAGCAGAAGGCATGCATCCATTTTGGAGATGTGGCTCATGGAAGAGGTGGTGTGACTTGAGGTCTAGAAGTTGTCCTGGCAGCTTCCTGATTTAGCAGGTGGTTTCCCAGTTCGGTAGTTTGAACAGCAGTGATAACATATTCATAGGATTGTTCTGGTTATCTATTGCTGTGTAATAAACTATCCCTAAACTTAGTGAATTAAAACAACTATTTATTATTATTTCTTTTTGACAAGGTTCAGGTAAGCAATTCTCCCTTGAGGTCTCTTGTGAAACCACATTTAGATGTTGGCCGGGCTGCAAATGTCTGATGGCTTGACTGATCTGGGTGCCTGGGGGCACTCACATGGCTGACAGTGGATGCTGGCTCTTGGCTGGGGGTTCACCTGGGGCTGTTGACTGAAGCACCTACATGCAGCTTTTGCAGCTTCTCCACAGTGCTCAGGCTGCTCACGGCAGGGTCTTTGGGCTCAAAGAAGGAGCATCCTAAGAGCAAGCATCCCCAAAAGCAGGAAGCGGAAGTCATCAGAAGCCATAGTTAAGGGCTATGGTCAGGTTCAGGCACAGCATCACTTCCATCATACTCTGCTGGTCAAATGATGTCACACAAATAATCCGGGTTCACAAGGATGAAGAGATAGATGTCATCTCTTGATGAGGGAGTGGCAAACTCAACTGCAAAAGAGGATGTAGGATGGAAGATACTGTTTATGCCATCCTTGGAAAATACAATCTGCTGCAAGGGTAGATGCAGAGTGGTTTGGAGGGTAAAAGTTCCTCTTTCTGCTTTTCCAGCCATTTTATAAGCTCCTAATTCCCATGTGAAATCTCCTTCTGCTCACCGTAGCCGGAGTGGGATTTGTTGACTACAACTGGATCCTGACCAATGCTGGAAATCAGGCAACTGATACTCCAATGTAATACTCTGTAAGTTACTGAAATAGAGCAATGATGCTCTGAGCTTTGAGCATCTGGAATTGGAAAGTCTTGATCTTGGCTAAGCCACTTATTAAGAAGTCATTTACCCTCACCAAGCCTCTATTTCTCCATCTGGAAAATGGGGGTGATGACGATGATGATGATAACAACATGACATCTACCATATATAATTATTGGGCAGATTAAATGAACCCAGGTGGAATATTGCCACAAAGCCTAGCCCATGGGAGGTAATGCTAGGTGAAGTTTGTTTTGGTTGTTTACTCAGCTTATATTGCCTCTCTCTCTTTGGGAATTGCTCTGTCTATAAACACAGTGAAGTTAAGTAGCTGTCCCAAAGGTAAACAAGCAATTCTCCAGTGAAGACAGACAAATGGCCAATAGGCACAGGAAAAGTTCAATATCGCTAATTATCAGAGAAATGCAAATCAAAACTACAATGAGGTATCACCTCACACCAGTCAGAATGGCCATCATTCAAAAGTCCACAAACGATAAATGCTGGAGAGGCTGTGGAGAAAAGGGAACCCTCCTACACTGCTGGTGGGAATGTAGTCTGGTGCAGACATTATGGAAAATAGTATGGAGATTCCTTAAAAAACTAAAAATAGACTTACCATACGATCCAGCAATCCCACTCCTGGGCATATATCTGGAGGTTAACTCTAATCCAAAAAGATACATACACCCCAATGTTCATAGCAGCACAATTTACAATAACCAAGACATGGAAACAACCTTAATGTCCATTGACAGATGACTGGATAAAGAAGTCGTGTTATATTTAACACAATGGAATACTAGTCAGTGATTTAGAAAAAGATAAAATAATGCCATTTGCAGCAATATAGATGGACCTGGAGATTGTCATTCTAAGTGAAGCCAGAAAGAGAA